GAGAGGTTCTCTTCCACGGTTAGAATGACCTGTCATGGCCTAAATAGAGTTCAGTTTGTGACAGAGTTCCTGTCCTCTCGTCAGGCCTGTCCGAGGCCTGCTTYGAGGCAGTAAATCTTGTTTCTTCACTCGAGGTGACCCCTACAGAAGCAAACATTTTAAACAATACCTTGTGTTCTTGGTAACTGTTTGTAGCTGATCACATCAGTTACGATCACTTGTAATAAAACTATTAAAGTTTTATCTGTAAAGAAAATATCTGTTTCTTAGTGCAGCTGTAAACCCTGCCTYGTGGCTGCATGTGCTTAAACAGTGATTTGATTTGCATGTATTTTAAAATATTGTTTTTTATTTTCATTATAGAAAACTACAGTTTGGTCTCATATCAGTTTTGAGTAATCTGTTACTTGTTAAGTGTTGAAGTAGAAGAGGTTAATCAGTTAAATTAAATTATGTTGTAGAAGTTAATATGTACTGGCTGAAATGTTTGAGTCAATAAAAAAAAAACATACTGAGACAAAAAAGAGCCATCTGATATTTCACGTAAAAAGTTTCAGCCCAACAGGAAGGAGAAGGAGAACAACAAGGTGATCAAGGCTTTTAAAAGCTACACAGGTTTCCAGAAGCAGGACTTTTTACATTCCTCTGTATTATAGTTGTTTATCCTATCAGTGTTTTGACATTTTTTATTGTTTTTTTCTCAGAACAAGGAGACAAAGTGGGTTGATCTTGGTGGGGCCTACATTGGACCAACTCAGAACCGGATCCTTCGGTTGGCCAAAGAGTACGGTGTGAAGACCTACAAAGTAAACGAGSAGGAAAACCTGGTCCACCATGTCAATGTAAGTGTCCTTAGGTCTGTTTCTGCCTTTGACTGTTTGTTGTTGTTGTTTTGAATCGACAGTGTCTGTTTAGGACTGATGATGTTTCACATGTGAATCTGTCTTTAGGGTGATTCCATATATTTTCCCTCTGCTTGGCCAAAAAAAGTAACTGTTACTGACAGCCTTAACTGTTTTTATTGAATTCTTTTAGTGTTTCTTAAAGCCAGAAAGTTGTCATTTAAAATTACTTTAGTTTTGTGTCATTAAACAACTGAATGAACATCCTCTGAGGCCAATGTTTCCACCATTTTTGACAGGGGTTGTAATAAAATGTAAATCAGGGCTATTTCTATTTTTTTTAGACTTAAATTTCAAATATTTCAGTCAGAGTTGCACTAATTAAAACTGATCTTCATGACAGTGATCTGCCTGAACACACAACATTAACACAAAATCTGAAATATTTCAGTCAGAGTGGCGATCCTATCATATAATCCGGAGCAGTCAGGTGTAGCAGCCAATCAGGACCCTCCACACTGTGGAGCTAGTAGCCTGGTGTTTTACAACACAAACAATTAGAATTCAGGGCGTCATGATGGTCAGTGTATCTTTTGKTCWTTCTATTTTCAACTGCCAATCAAAAATCAAATAATGAWAAACTGACTGGTTATTTTGTTTTAAACATGAAATGGAAAAATGGACACTTGAACAGAATTGTATTTTAATAATTATTTTGTTGGCTTTATATGATGCAGAAATTTGATAAGGAGCTTTAACAACCAACGTTACTCATCCACACATCATTACAGATGGTGGCAGAAGAAACATTAGCTCGTCACCTGCTACCAATGTTGTATAAATAAATAAATAAATCTATAAATCAATGCCTGATATGATGCACCTCATCCAGCCCCTGAGCTGTTGGCTTTCAGTTAKTTTGGCCCTCTGATCCCTGACATACGCTTACATCTGTATTACTGGGCTTCAAAAGTGTTACGTTTCCATTMCAAATGTGCAAAAAAACAAAAGCAGTCATTATAAGGTCATGCTTTGTTATCTCACTGATAATAAAACCTACTTTGTGGATCATTTTCATATGCTCTAATGTTTCACTACAGTTTTCTGATAACAGCATGTGCCTGTTTAAGTTTATTGCCTGTAAGAGAAGGATTTATACAACCAGTATAAGACYAAAAAACACACAAGGTAATATTCAGAACAAACAAACATGATGTCTTTGTGGATCTTACCTAAGCCAGCCTCTTCTTTCTGACAAGAATGACTTTTACTGCCTTCCTATAAGTGACCAGAGATGCTAATTATTGCCTGAAGGATTTCTCTAATTCAGTTTGTCTCTCTGAGAGGCTGAGAGGCAAACTAAGAGGCAAACAAACAGGCAAACAAAGAGGCAAACAAAGAGGCAAACAAAGGACGTCTTTCTTTGTTCTCTTTAGTCATTGCTCCATATCTCATTACTGTGGGTGCACCACTGCTCTTAACTAAGTTGTGTTCTTCCTCCTGATTTCATTTGGTTTTACTGCCTTGTACCCTGACCAACATACACCTGCTGTAAATCCATGAACTGGACCAGAAACTGGACCAGAAACTGGACCAGAAACTGGACCAGAGGGGTGCAGCTGGAGGCAGCTTATCTCCACACAGACTGTGATTCAGTCAGAACTCCAGAGATGAACTCTGAGCTACTGTCCACACACACACACACACGCACGCACGCACGCACGCACGCACGCACGCACGCACGCACGCACGCACGCACGCACACACACACACACACACACACACACCCTTGTACTTCCATCAAACTGAGGACTTTGTATTGACTTACATTCATTTTTGTAACTGTATTTCTGCCTAACCCAAACAAAACTTAATTCAAACCATACCTCCAGGGGTGGGCAGTCCTGGTCCTGGGGGGCCGCAGCCCTACATGTTTTACATGTTTCCTGCTCCAACACACCTGTTTCAGTCACTGAACTACCTCTTCATGTTCTGCTGTACGGAGGACCGACACTGACATAATTAGAAATAAAAACAGAAATAAATAAATACATTTAAAATGCACCAAATAAATTAAAAAAGAAAACTTTACCTCATGTTTTATCATTTAATTGACTTTCATATTTATTTTTCCAGTTTAGTTCCAATAAATTATATATTTTAACACAGAATTTAAATTTTAATGTTTTTAATATATATTTTACATAGTTTTTCCTTTTACTTGTACATGCATTTGTATCTTGAATGCTTAAATTGAAATATTTTTATAATTTTGTCCAACAAGCCTAATTATTTCCATGTGTTGCATGTTTGTTCTGCTGCAGTTTAGCTTAAAGTTTAGTTAAAATAAATGCACAGGTAATGTTTTCCTCCTTGTCTGTTTTAAACTAAACTTTTAGCTAAACTGAGGCACAAGCATGCAACACATACAAATAAAAGGACTTGTTGGAAAAATATTGAGTATAAACATTTAAGACACACAAATGCATGTACAAGTAAAAGGAAAAACAATTAATATTTATTTAAAAAAAGGTAAAATTTAAATCGTGTTCAAATATATAGACTAATTTGTTGGAACTAAGCTGGAAAAATAAATATGAAAGTCAATTAAAATATAAAACAGGAGATAAAGTTCTCCTTTTTTAATTTAATTGGTGCATTTTAAGTGTATTTTTAGTGGTTCATATAATTCTGCTTTTATTTCTAATGATGTCAGTGTTGGTCCTCCGTACTGCAGAAGCCTGATAATCATCATATCAGGCTGCAGACCTCCAGGACCAGGACTGACCAGGACTGGACTAAACCTACCTGGTAGAGAGCAGTAGAACTCCTTGTCCCAGTCTTCACTTTACATCTAAGTCCTCACTTTGATAGTAACTATTTTTGCAAGGTATCCTCACTCTGTAGCAGAGACAAGCAAACACACACACAAATGTACTGCAGTGAGCACACTTTTACTGGTTTAACAGGAAAACTGTAGTAATGGCTTCCACCAACACCTCTAAGTTAAATTAAAACCTGAATAAGCTGACRGTGGGAAGTCCACTGGAATCCACAGTACTGGATGTGGAACAACAGAAACAACTTCCAGTGAATCACACAGATGCCTACCTGAACCCACCTGCCCCCTGGTGGACACACACCTGTTCACACTCTATTACTTCACAACATCCACACTTTACATGGTTGTTGTCTTTGTTGCAACTGCAGAACTGAAACTTTAAACTGAATCACACAGTTTTTAATGCAGTATAAAGCAGATTATTGTCAGTATTATTGTTATAGAATATTGTTAAAACACCATGCTCTCTCTTTAAATCTCATACATTTCTTTCTAAAGACATAATAATGTGATCTGACCTCCATCAGCATGACGCTGGGCACAGACAGTAGTGTGAACACAAACCTCTGACCGACTGTGGTGAACGGTCATGTGAGCGCCTGTGTGTGTGTCTCCTTGGATACTATCTAAGATGTAAGATCTGTGTAGCTGTTTCCATGGCAGCATGCCTCATCAAAGCAGCTTGACTCTCTCACTGTGCCTGGCTGTGTCTGTGTGTGTGTTTGTCCTGTGTTTGTGTATACAGATGTGTGCAGAGGTGAGAGGTCAGTTGTGTGTCTCCCACAGCTGACGCTGCAAGAACAGGAGAGTCTAACCCTTCACACATCATTTTAATCATGTTGGTCCTGCACATAATATGGTTTCTGTCAGTAAATGTTGGAAAAGACAGAGAATATTTATGTCATTGTGACTGAGACGGTCCAGTTCAAATGACTTTGTGAAAATGATATTATAAAGTGATACAAACACTCATTAGAGCACAGMTAAAGTGTTCTTCACACTGAAGGACAACCACAACATGTTACAAGTTGTCCAGAAGAAAAGGGTTCTTAGAGCCTTCAGGGGTGTATTATAAATGCAGTGGTATCAATATTATGTCTGATTGGGCCTAATAGGTCCACAATGGTTTTGAGAACTTTTAATACAAGAGCGGTTTAAATGGACCAAGTGATGCGCGGCAGAAGATATCACTTAATAAATTGGAACAATTTTTAATCTAATAAACCATTTTTGATGCACCCCTAGTTAATATTGTTAAACTCCAACAACTAAAGAAACATAAACAGCCAGTTATAACAGATAGGCTGCACACTCCTGCTCACCGGCAGACAATCAGCTTTTTTCACAACACATCCAATCTGACATCTTCTGTTTCAAATATCTRTCTTCATGCCATTMTACTCTCAACCATGTCGTACTGTTTACCTGTTTGGTCTCTTACAACAAATGAAATCTTAGAACCCATAGTTAGGCTCTACAACAGGGCCTACAAAATTCATAAAAAACTTCCTGGTTGGACTCATCACTGTACAGTTCTTTCATTGTCTGATGCCTTGACTTTTCAGAATTATGTTTTGTATAGTGGTATTAATTTATATTTTCAGATCTTCCAAGGTGCCAATTATGGAACTCTCTGTGCATTGTTGCCCAAATCAAATTCTGGAAGTGGTCATTCAACTAGATCTGTTACAAAAGGACAACTGATATTACCAACTTTTAAAAACTGTTACGGCCAGAGGTCTTTCTTCTATGTTTATACTAAAGCATGGAATGACATTCCTCAAAACATAAAGTCCATTTCAAAACTACAGCCCTTTAAGAAGAATCTTGTCTGCCATCTGCTGGACACTTTTTGTTCTGCTCATATTTAGACGTCCTATTTTGCAAATGCTGCCTTCCTGAAATTTGGTATGCTTGTTTGTCTTTGTGTCTATGGTGTATAATGATGTGATTGTGATGCTGTAATTCTGAGTGTTTTATGTGCTGCAGAACAGGAACCTGCTGTAAAACAGCAATTATGCTGAGTCAGACTTGATTTTCAGTAATCTTTCCTTGTTGAATCAATAAATCAAATCAACAGCTGACAGTTCTTCTCAGTAAACACACCTGTTGTTCAGATGTTGTGTCACTGTGATTAAAGCCACGCCTCTTCTCTTCT